ATCAAACAAGGAAACCCTAATTTGACTGCTTAAGCCCTAAGCAGCCCATAGACCCCTTCTGGAACATGCCTTGGACGATTTCTAATGGTCTTCCCCATAGAATTCGTCCAACCTATTATTCCAAGGTGATCCATAGCCCAATTGCAATTATCTTATAATTACAATTCCAATCCCCTAAGTTTAATTAATATATTTTAGCCATAAAATTAATTCTTAATTAATTCTTGACTAATATTAATTAAACATTATGATTTCTCCTTTAATATATTATTCTTATAATATATTAATAAATCATAATTAATTCTTTCTCTCCTTAATTCATCCTACATATTGTTACGGTGAAAGCAACCCAAAAAGGACCATGCTCATAATCGGATCAAGTACATACCAAAATAATTATAGACTTAAACACTAATCCAACAGTGATATAGGTGAAGGTGGCAGTGTCGCTGGAGATGGAAATGGCCACATATTAGAGGTTGAGGAAGGAGAGAGGTAAGTGTTGTAATGTTTGAGTTTTAGGTTTAGGGATTTATATGAGTTTTTGTAAATTTACAAAAATGGTCCTTGGGGTTTTAGGTTTTGTTAAGTTTAGTCTGAGAGTAGTCTTGTCACTTAAAAAAAAATTAATAATACTAATGGTAAATGTTTCGATGACCAAAACTAAATGATTTACCAACCATAAAGATCAAGTTTCTAAAACTAGAAGCAGACCTAATAATACTATAGAGACCAAAACTATAATTTACTCTAGAATTTATTGTTACATATATTTTAATAAAAATTGAGTTTTTTATTCCGTTCAATTTCAAAACTAGCTAGTGATAACTATCAAATACAACTATGATAATCATTTTAACCAAACATGTTTAACGTGAAGTTCTTTTTTCAAAAACGGTGAAAATTAAATATAAGCCATTCTAGCTATTCTCCTTTTATCATGTCAAAAAGGAAATGATAACTATTTGCTATGCTTAATTTAAAATTTGTATGCATAAAAGTTAAAACATTTCATTGTTTTGCATTTGCCCCATTTAAATGTTTATGTGGATCTATCCTTCAATTGCAAGTAAGGGATCGTATTATTCATATATAAAGTAAAGAGAACATATGTATAACACAATTCACAATGAATACAATGTCTACCTTTTACCTTGAAAATATCCCCATACAATACAATACAAAACACAACACCTTTTTGTTTTGAGTTGCGATAAATATCCAATTTTTCCGTAAGTCCTTTAGTGAAATTACCTAATGGCCCATCGTTATTTATTATAGATACTTCATACTTGCAAGCGATTTCTTTAGACCATCCGATACCTAGGGAAAAGTACGCATAGGAGGTGATATGACATGCCAACCTACGTGTGAACACCACCCCAAATGCGTTTAGGTGGCTTGTGACGTAGTCTCGTTCACGGACAAAAACGGCGAATCGGGTGAGGAGAGAGAAAGCAACAATCCTTTATTTGACCGTTTAATTAACTTTAAAAAAATTAAACTTTTAAATTTAAATAACGTCTTACATCTTTTACCTATATATATATACTACACATTTTACCTTCACTTTACATTTCTAAAACACAAAATTTCTTCTACTTTATTTATCTTTTCTTCAAAAATTGACCCAAACCAAAATACATTACACACTCCAATCACTCCAAACACTCCAAACACTCCAAATGATTATCAAACATACATGCAATTATTGAACTCTCCAATCCAATAACAACCTTTATTCACTAACATTCCATACAACCCACAATTCTTCCAACAACAATGACCATAACAACAATTCATTCAACCCTAATTCACTTAACCCCAATTCTAAGGTTTTCAACAACAACCTTCTCAACAATTCCAAACACAATCATCTAAAGTCTTATTATCTCAATCCCAAATTGTAAACTCGACAACGCCGATGAACGAGTCCAAGAAACACTACAATCATCTCGAAGAAGGCAAACAAAAGCAAAATGGGAAAAAAAGCAGTGGCTTGGAATGAAGAGTTGGAGGAAGCTTTAGCGAAAACTTGGATTTTCATATCGTGTGACTCGGGAAAAGGCAACGCACAATCCAGGAAAAGTTTTTGGATCACTTTCACGCTATACTAGGAAATCAAACGGATCGGTCGTACGACGCAGTCAACGGAAAATGACGTGATCTACGAGCGGCTTGCACAAAGTTTAATGACATATTTGAAAATCTAAAAATATGCAGAAAAGTGGTTGCAATGACTTCAACATTTTTTATCAAACGCGTGCTACCAATTCAAAGTTACCAACAATGGTAAACTACTCGGTCACCAAAAAGCATGAAGTTTGCCGTAACGATCCAAAATGAGTCCTTAATATGGAGACGTCGCATTTGGACTTGACCATCGGCTCAAACAAAAGACCAAGAACTTCTGATTCGGACGCGAGTTTTGGGCTACACCTCAATGATGAATTCGATGTTGTTGATGCAGAGGGTCCACCAGAAGTCCAACTTCATCGACCACCGGGAAGGGACAAAACAAAACAGGCGACGTCTTCAAGCAAAAAAACAACCGCAACTAGCGACAACGAGCTTGTGAAATCCATAGATAAAACTTTAAGTTTTGTAGAAAAAATACCAATCAACGGAGGAATCTTATCGTCCAAAAATCGCTTTTACCAATCTTCAAATCATAAACACTATGCCCCAACTGGATCTCGACCCGGAAAATCTAGCGACGTTTCTCTAAATCCAACAACAAGTCCGCGATAAATATGGAATGTAGGTTCTAATATTTGTGTTTTATTTGATATGTTTGATATGTTTTATGTTTTTTTGAAGTAATTTAGGATTTTTTTATGTTTTTTTAAGTATTTTAGGATTTAAATTTGTATGTTTTAAAATTAATGTAATGTGTTTTAATTTAATATGTGTTTTTATTTGAATTGTTTTTTTAATTTAATCTAATAAGTAACCATCTCCAATGAGAATTGGTTTTGTTAGTGAGTTTGTAGTAAAGGTAACATAACACTGATATAACATCACTTTTTGTACTCGTATTCTTCGTTCTAAGCCACTGCTTTTTTTCCCCTTAGCCTTAGGCCTTAGCTCTCAATGAGTAGAATAGAGCCAACGTCATATTTGATTGTACATATATAAAAAGTATTTCTAGAGAAAAAAAAGTTATGTATATTATCCGATGAGTGAATGAGCAACACCTCTTAATCACTAAGCCCTTAACATTTGCCTTTTTATTAAGTGCATGCTAATTGTGTGAGAGTTCGAAAACGGATATTATACTTAATTTTTAGATGTGAATGTGAATGCTTAAGTTTTAACCCACAAAATATAGATATTGTGTTTACTATGCAACCTAATCGCATTTGGTTATATATCTACTTAATACATATAGACACTGCATCTTTATTAGACGATAAGTCAACAAATTTGAACACACTTATTCAGTTTTGACTCAAAACACGTACATAAAAAATTAGAGGATGTTTAGGATGTGCTTTAGAACAATTTATTGAATTATTAATTTTTTATATAACTATTATAAGTTAAAACAAAGAGAACATTCATGAAACAACCAAAATTGAGGGGGTGTTTTAAGTATTTAACAGAGAAAATTTGAGTTTTGGAAAATAACCACGAGATCTACAGAGGGGGATTTGTAGATCGCTTTAAACCTCTGAGTAACGATAAATAGTATCGATGAATTAACGCGACATCACTAAAAGACAAATATATATATATATATATATATATATATATATATATATATATATATATATATATATATGATGGGTATCATGGTTCCACAGAGGTGGCTTTGCGGATCCATTTAACCATCTGCAAAAGTTTAAATTCTCTGAGGAAATGGTAGCTGCTCCTCTCCGACAGATCTGCAGAGCTGTCTCTGCGGATCCCTGCAACACCTTTGCGAAATTGTTGATTTCTCTGTGGACCCACCATATATATATTTTTTCTTTTAGTGATGTCACATCAATTCTTCGTATTATTCATTGTTCATCAGAGGTTTAAAGCGATTCATAAAGCCCCCTCCATAGATCTCGTGGTCATTTTCCAAAACTCAAATTGTCTTCGTTAAATGCTTAAAACACCCCTTAATTTTGATTATTTAATGAACTTTCTCTAAACTAAATGTTTTTCAATTACTAAATGATTTTTTTAAAACTTATTTTTATTCCCACTAAGATTATAGGGATGCTTGCCACAATGCTATCTCGGTCCTTAGGCACCCATATCATCGACATATCATTTTTTGTCACTACAAGTTCAAAACCCCATTTAGATGGATGGATAAAAAATAACATTCAGTATGGTCAAAAATAGGTGGAAGTTCAACTCCCCCACTTCATAAACAACCCATCCATGGGCTATCTCTGAAGTTGATATACCACCGTGGTGGATCGTTGTTTGTTAAGCATGTCATGGTAGTACCCAGCATAATGTTATCTCACTTCTCCAAGTTCAATACTTGTCTTTCAAAAATCAATTCTATTTACATGTCTCACCTAATAACCATAATTTCTGAAAATATCAACATATGATTATGATTATCGAAAAACATATATGATAAACCCAAAATCCAGAAAAACAATTGAACACCACCTCTAGAACATGTTTTGAGAGAACTAACCGACACCTAGAAGCGAAACTTTTATACATATAGAAATGTTTGATAAACTAGATGGAAATGCTAGAAGTGTAAAAAATTACATAAATATCAAAACTTAAAAACTCCAACAATCTACTTGAAATAAATTTTGAATTAAAAGTTTTTTTTTTGTTAAAATAAAAATAAAAAATGTATACTGTCAAACCGCGATTTTTTTTTCTAAAAATAACATTATCCCCTAATTTTAATAAACAAACTATAAGATTGACTATAATTTTTCTTTGAGTTGTTATTAAAAACATAATTTAGTTATGGTGCTTGGGTTGGCCAACAAGTATTTTGCTTTGGTCGCCCAAAGCCCCATAAACGGTAGCGGCCCACCCAAACCCTAGCACCGCATAGGGCAGGACACAGAATAATATCTCCGTCTCCACTCTCCAGTCTCTACTTCCTTTCAAAATGTATGTATACGCTTTGTAGTCGCTTACTTGGTTTTATATGCTTCTCCTTATGCCTTGTTTTCTCTAATTCGAATACGTTGAGTTTGATTGTTTGCACTTCATTCTGTGCATTGTTATCCATCATAAATCATAAACTTAGGATCGTTTCATAGGAATGACATGATTTGATTATAAATGTAGTTGGGCAAAATAATTATTTGTTGTTTCTTGGTAGATTAGCAGTAGGATTCACCTGCATACTTCATTTCTAGGTTGTGAGTTTTAAATGCTCATAATCTGCCATTGAAGAACGTCATTTTGTGTCAATTTGAAAGCCGTACACGGTGGCTAATTAGCCGTTCACATGATGATAATCGATATGTGAATGGTCAGTAAGCTCACCAACATTATTCTGTTAAACAGTCTTATTATGTGGAACTAGAATTAGTATAGTATCACTACAAGTCTCTTTAACTACATATCTTATAAAAATTTCTGACTCTTATAATTACAGTTTTGGTGACTAATTAGCCAATCACATATATTTTGTGTGAGTGGTCAGTAAGCTCACCTACATTATACTGTTAGCAGCCTTTTGGTTTCCATATGAGATTTTTCATTTTCATGCCAAGGCTATAACTACATGTCTTCCCTTTTTTTATAAAAAATTCTTATTAGTTTTGTAAACAGAATGTACAAATATCTTATGAGAAAACAGTAGTTATGCTGAATTTGATATGATGAGGTTGGATTCTGGATTCTGTGTTAGCAGCCATCTTCCGTAATCTTGTATCAGCTGTTGGAGTAACAAGGGTACAAGTCTGTCTACTAAAGCTTGCATCATTCTGTAATATAATATTCCACAAAAAAAAAAAAAAAAAAAAAACCTTAATATTATACCGCATGTTTCTAGTCGTATGAAACAGAGTAAATGTACTTACAAGCTGCCTGGAACCTCAACTGCAGATGTTGGCAGCATGCTAAATGGTTTGGTGTATATCTACATAAAACAATAATTATGTATTCTTAAATCAATAAATATAAGTCATAAATCATACATGATATGTTTAATGTGGAGAAAATAATACCTCAAGAGTGAGATCTAGCTTCACGTCAACATCCAGATATGGTTCAGAGCTCTTTGTGCACCAAGTTATGTAATTTGTCATCTCAGCTGTATTATATACACAATTAATCTACAATGTTTAAGCATTATAGAGGACATTATTGTTGTTACAAGCAAATTGCTGCAATTTTACAACATCATTATCAAAATTATATCAAGTCTGAGCAAATACCTGAAAAATGCTCATTTTGTTGTGTCACGACTTCGGAACCCTCAAACTGCAGAAAATGTATAAATAAAAAAATGAATTTAAACTTGGATTGAAAAACTTTTTTCCAAGATTTATATCATCATTTAGTTACCTTGCAACATAACAACTCCACCATGCAATCTTCAGTTGTTGGGGTAACACGCAAATCTATCACAGGAGAGACCTCAAAGTTTAGCAAATTCAGTTGTGGCAAAGTACACCTGCAAAACAATTCTCGTTAAAAAGCAAGAACACGAGCAACTCTAGTAAATGGTATTATCATTATGTTATAATGAAAGCAGCAACATGAAGTTTAAATGAACCTGTAAGTGGTAAGATCGAGTTGTTCGAATTTTTGCAGGGCTTGAGTATTTAGAAGTGCTTCAGTTCCAGATGGATGGCTTAGAAATTCCCTAATTGGGTATATTTTTTCCCCTCTTCCATGTAGGTCGTTGTAGCTAGGAATATTGACTCGATCCTTCTTCCTAGCAGATAATTTAGCCTTTTTGACATTAGAGTCTAATTTCTCATTACTGCTATTGGAAATAAATCTTAATCTCCTCCTGGAACAAAATCGATTACGTGATTCCTAGTGCCAAAACAAAAGAATATTAAAGATTACACTAGCATAAGATAATTAAATAACTGTATCACAAATTCACAATTATCGAGTTATGGTTCCACATGTTTGAAATCATGAATGTAGGGCATTGAACTGATGTCGCTGTAATTTCAATTTCCAATTGTGCACTGGGAGCTCGCGTTGAAGGGAGAAGAAAATGAAAATTGGAGATATCTATCAAAATGTATGTATTTCTTAAAACTCGATGATAGTAAAGTACCTGATAATGAAAAGCTTTTTGAAGCATCAGGGAAGCTTCAAATTTGAAAACCTTCATCATTCCAATACGAAATATATATACTCCTGCTATTCAATTATGCATTTAGCAACTAGAAAGAAGTTCGAAAAAGGTAAGCAATGTCTATTGTCTAAGAACGAATCCGATTTACCTGATCGCTCATGGAAATGGTGTGTGGTTGTGAGTGAGTGTTTGTGTAGAGAGAGATAAAGAGAACTGATATTGACCAAACAACCCGCCAACGACTGTTGCTGGAAAAAAGAAAAAAAAAATATATTCATCTGAAATTTAAAAAAAAAAAAAAAATGCTATACTTCTTTAAGTTCATTTAAAAATTATTTAACATAAATTTAAAATAATTGATTTATAATCAAATACAACTAATAAAAAGCACATATATACGTATCTTCAATAAACAAAGTTTTATTTTATTTCATATTCTACACTAATAATTTACAAATAAACATTTTTGAAGTAAATATTGGTAATGATTACATGTATTTGAACTAAAGTAATTTATTAAAGACTTTCTTAATCTATTTAAAATTTTCATTCCTTGAAACCACAACAACTCTACAACATTTTCGCAAGAAACCATAGTTGGTTCAACACATATAAACCAAGTAATTTTATTATATAGTGTAAACAGAAAATAAGCCAATGACCATTCCAAAGCTTATAGCGCTCTTTACAAGTCCATACAAACAAAGCCGTTTCCTAGCTCTAAACACTTTCTAGAAACAAATTCTATGCATTCTACAAAAACTCAAATAGATGACATTCCAATCACAAATACCTAACGGATCAAAGTATCCCCCAGCTGGTTAGTACTCAATAGATATTTTGTAGATCCTGATGTATCATGCACGTTAATTATTAACGTGCATGACACATACTGGATATTGTATGTATCAGACACATCACATCATGTATGTGTCTGATACATACTTAAATGTTATGAGGCACCATCACTTGGTGCCTGATACATTACTACTACAAAGGGATCTATTTTGCTTCAATCCCTTTGTATTACCCTGAGCTTAGCGCTCCTACAGCGAACATTGAGTTTCTCTTCATCTTGAGAAGGTGTTATGGGTCTTTTTGTAAGGATTGTCCCACCAACACCTCCAATCATCTGTTTGATCCATGGCTCGTTTTCAACATTTTTCAGATCAGGGGACGCGCTTCCGCTTCCATCAACGGAAACGCTTTTGATGATATCGAGAAATGTTTGTTTCACGATTCTGTCCTCCAGACTATGAAAAGATATAACAGCAAGCCTCCCGCCAGGTGCAAGACACCTGAAACAATCATATAATGAAGCCTCGAGTGTCTTGAGTTCATCATTAACAGCAATTCTTAAAGCCTGGAACACTCTTGTTGCTGTCTTTATCCAACCTTGCCTCCCTCCTGTAACAAATACAAATACATTGCTACTCATTCCATTCCATCACACCAAATAGAAACAAGTTGTAAGAGTTAAACTCACCTTTTCCACCAGATGTACAACTCCTGATAAGATCTACTAGTTCACTAGTAGAATGCAATCCACCAGTTAATCGGGCCTTAACAATCCTTTTCTGAAGTGAGCGCCAATTGTTCTCTTCCCCATAATCACGTAAAATTCGTCCCACTTCAGCCTCTGGCCATAAATTTAGTATGTCTTCAGCTGTCAAACTTGCCTATAATAGTAATAGTAATAGTAATACACATGTTCTAATCAGTTAAACGAACAAGATATATAGACAATGATTAATTAATTAATTAATTAATTACATATGCTAATTCTGATTCTGACCTGGGGATCCATTCTCATATCAAGGGGTCCATCACAAAGCACGCTAAATCCTCTTTTAGCATTGTTCACCTGCATATATATACTTGTAAAACATTAATATTGAAAAGGTCATGGATCTTTACAGAATAAGAGTTTCTGCAAATTTATAAGACAAACAAGCAAGATGAAACATGTGTGAAATGGTTAACAGTTTACATACCTGCATGGATGACATTCCCAAGTCCATTAGGATCCCATCAATTCCTGAAGTCAGAAGCTTCTCATCTACCTCAGATATTGTGGACTTGATGTTCTTGAAATTTCGCAGAAAGGTATGTGTTTTTAGGTTGGAAGTCGAGTCATGGGACATGGAAGTTTGGATCGAATCAATCTTGGCTTTTGCTTTTTCATGGGCAACAGGATCAAAATCCAGTCCAACATATGACTGCATCTCGGGATGAGCCTGAATTATCTGTTATCTCCAGCACAAGAAATTAACATCAGACCCAAAAGACATGAGTAAAATCGAGAAAACCCTTTTACCAATTCCAGGGCTACACATTATCAAAGGATCCTTGACCAAATAGCAACAAAATGAATTCAATCAAGAAAAGGGGAATCAGATTCACATACGGCGGAAGAATGTCCGGCGGCTCCAAGGGTACAATCGACAAATGTCTGAAGTTTGCGGGAATCAAAAACCTCCAATACCTCACCTAGCATCACCGGAATATGACTCTCGGTGTCACCAAATTGACGAAAGCTCTCCTCATCGAACTTTTTATCCGACCGAGTCCTCCTCTTCACTACAGAATCTATTAGAACTCGACGACTAGTACCGGTAACGGAATTATCTTTTCTGTTTAGCTTTTTCTTGTTACGAGTAGAAGCAGATAAGGTAGTGGAATAACTGGCGACTGCGAGAAGGGAAGAGGAAATTTGACGGCGGTAGCAATGCAACGGCGATAAGGTGAATGAAGGATGAAATAACAGTTGCTTAACGGCGGCCGCCGCTGCCGTGGCAGCGGTAATAGAATGCGAGGACATGCTGATCGGTGGTGGTCTAGTAGAAATGGACTGGATTCATTTTTAATCTTCGGCATCGAGCCCAACCATTATTTCCCTAAAATAAACTACAATTCACGAAATTTTTGTTTTAAACATTTGAACATTTAATGGTAACTCTATATCAATATATATATATATATACTTTCGTTTATATCTTAAAGTTTTAACATATTTAATAAAAAAAAAGGATTAACAAAAATATTTATATTACGATACTATTTTTAGAAGAAAAAAAATTATAAAGAAAGTATGTAAAAAAGGTTGTATGAAAGTTTAAAATATTTTAGAAAAAGTAGTAAAAACAAGTTTAAAATATTGTAAAAAATAAAGTTTAAGAAGATTTAAAAAAAAAAGTGATAAGTAATATACAAAAAAGCTATAATAAGTATAAAAAAAAACATATATTTTAATAAATGTTGTAAAAAGTCTTTAAACAATTTCAAAAATGTTATAGAAAAGGGATGTAATGAATGTCCGGAAAAAAAAAATATAAGAAAGCTTTTAAAAACTAATTTGAAAAATAATAATAATAATAATTTAGGTAGAATTTGTTAGGTGCATTTTGTGCCTATTTTTGCATGTGTTTTCATCCATTTTATGCATCCAGTTAGTATAGTTTACTTATTTTCTATGCATTTGATTGCTTTTGTACACTTTTTACAAGGGTATTTTTATAACGTTTTAAATGTGCTTTTATAATTTATTTTTAAATTTTCATTTTTATATATACTTTATTTAATATTTTAAAATGAAGATATTTCTAAAAACAATATATCAATACATATACTTTCGTTTATACCTTAAAGTTTTAAAATATTTAATCGAAAAAAAAAATGATTAACAAAAATATTTATATTATTATTACTATTTTTAGAAAAAAAAATATTATAAAGAAAGTATGTAAAAAAGGTTGTATGAAAGTTTAAAATATTTTAGAAAAAGTAATAAAAACAAGTTTAAATATTGTAAAAAAAAAGTTTAAGAAGATTTTAAAAAAAGTGATAAGTAATATACAAAAAGCTATAATAAGTATAAAAAACATATATGTTAAAAAATGTTGTAAAACGTCTTAAACAATTTCAAAAATATTATAGAAAATGGATGTAATGAAAGTCGGAACAAAAAAAGTATAAGAAAGCTTTTAAAAACAAATTTGGAAAAAATAAATAAATAATTTAGGTAGAATTGCCGCAATTGCGTTAGGTGCATTTTGTGCATATTTTTGCATGTCTTTTCATCCATTTTATGCATCCATTTACTTTAGTTTACTTTCATTCTATATGCATTTTATTATTTAGTTTCTATAACAACCTTATTTGCACGTTTTTATGATATTTTCAGATGATCCGAAGACGGAAACACGTTTTGGGAAGGTGCCGGGAAGCACAGGTGAAAATGGCGGAATGATTGGTTGTGAAATAAAGAAATTAAAAAAAATCAAGTTTGCATTTGGAAGGAGATGTGGGCACGAGTCGTGTTGTATTTGCAATGAAAAACGAGCACGGGGCATGTTTGACCAAAAAGGAATTGTTGACCATGCTAAAGACCACCCGTGTTGATTTAGCTTATTTTGATACGGGCTGTGTTGGTCCAGTTTCGCATTTTTTAGCAAATTACTTTGGAAGAAAACCCATGCTGATTTACTTTATTTTGACACGGGCCGTATCCGACCATAAAACTGCCTTTTGATGGTTTTTCTTTTTTAACCTATCTCGGGATTTTGGGACAGTGGACACACACGATTCATATCATAGCACATTTGGCAAGGAGATTGTAACATCTTGTTTCGGATCGTCTGTGATTTAGGGTTTGTGGGCTACAACTCGGGCATGAGGAAGCCTTGAGGTTGCGACAAGTTACTAGAAGTGTAGGGCTTCTCGCCACCTTTCCGTGGATATGAGGTTCGTTGGAAACAGACTTATAACGAAGAAACTATGATAGTTTGAAGTTTGGCAAGTTTAGTCCTTATTGAGAAATGGATGGCAAACGAGTACGCAAGGCGTAAGTATGTGTACGCTCAGCGTACTTAGATGCGTAGCATGGACGCGGAGACCACCTAGTACGTTGGGCGTACCAGGCAGAGAATGTAAACCCTAATATTTTGAGGTGACCCTATTTAAGGAACATGATCGCGTTCCAGCCACCATTTCCAGCCTCCAACTCCTCTCAAAACCCTAATCCCGTTTCCATGGCTCGTGTGAGTGTGGTGGCTCATTTGAGTGTTTTTTATGAATCTCTTGGTGAAGAAGGAGTATTGAAAGAGGATAGTTTGTGCTTCTAGCTTGTGGATTTGAGTTCTACCCTTGTTGGTGCATCTTCCAGAGGTATAAAGTTCGAAACTTGCTCATTGTTGTGCTAGTTCTTTTTTTGGGTCCATTTTTAGGGTTTTATGGCCCAAGATTGGAACTTTGTGAGTTTGGTGAACTCCAAAGCAATTTTCATGTCCTTTTAAGTGTATTGGGTTGCCCTGAATCATAAAAATGAGAACTTGGTCGTCTAGACTTCTTTATGCATGTGTTGAGAGGATTTAAGAGAGTCTTAATGGTTATTTTGGATGTTGGATCCCATTAAGACATGCAAATTAATAAAGTTGCCAAATTTATCAATTAGGAGCTTGTAATGAAGCTTCCCTGAGGTTTGGATGCTTTGGGCTGAAGTGGTTAAGTCGAAAATGGAGTTTCTAGACTTGAGAATTACGCCCCGCGTAAGTCCTAGTACACCCCACGTACTGGTCTTGTTTCCCCGATCAGGATTTGTGTGTACGCTGAGCGTACCCAGGGAGGCACTCCCCACGTAATCTTGTTGTGGGATTTTTCGGCTAAATCTTGTATTGGGCCTTAAGTGTTGGGCTTGGATTTTGGGCTTGTTGTATCGGAGATTTTGGATAAGAGGAATATATATATGTCTTGGGCCTTTGTGTTGGGCTTGCCTTTTGGACTGAAGTTTAAGGGTTGGGCCTTAGGAGGGCCCATTCAGTATTGAGCCTTGTTGGGCCCAATGTGCTTGGGTTATTTATGGGTTGGTTAGTGAACTATCTTTAAACCTAATGAGTGAGGGTTTGGTCTTAGATCCTAATTGGGTTAATTGTGGGTTTGGCTCAATGTTAGAGGTCAGTGTGCAGCAGCAGCATCTATAAGGGTTGTGCATCATCCGAGGTGAGTCTTCTCGCTATACTTACCTGAGTGGTAATCATTGTGTGACCGGAGGGTCTTATGTGTTTATACCAAGTTATGTGATATCATGTATTTTGTCTTTGTGATTTATGTTGTATATTACTACTGTGCCTTATTGAGTTATTTTGTTCTTGTGAGACAGGAGGGTCTTCACTAAGATACCAGACTGGAGGGTCTGACCCGAGCGATGAGACCGGAGGGTCTTCACCGAGACACATGACCGGAGGTTCCTTATCAAGATATAGCCAAGTGAAGTTAATTATTTGCATGTGGTATTTTAGGGAACTCACTAAGCTTCGTGCTTACCTTGTTGTGTGATTTGTGTTTTTGGTACTTTTCAGGATCGTAGGAAGGCGCCATCTTAATTGTACATACCAGTTAGAGATCATGATTTTGAGGATTATTAGATTTTATCAAACATTGTTGAATTGTGTTTTGACAACTTATACATTTGTGGTTCTTGGGAATTGTGATACTAAGTTTATGTGATTTTGAAAATGAAAATTTTACTTGAAAATTTACAGTGTTATCAGACCGGTTTGAGGGATTCAGATGTACTCTTGGGTTTGTCTGGACTCAAACTAAGAATTTGAGAAAATTTTCTAAAAAGAAATGATTTTTCTAAAACGAGTTAGAGTTTAAAGTGAAAACGAGAGGGGGTAGTGTGTACAATCAACCAGAAACTGGGTGGTGATTTCCCAAAATACCATTACTTGTGTACTGTAACGCCCAGGTTTTGGGGCTAAGCATTTTTGACAATGTAATAGCCTAGGTCAACTTTTGTAACTCTTTTTGAAGTAATAAAGATCAAATATTTGAGTATTATTTGAATTATGTGTATTTATGTGCTTATTATTTAATTATAAATGTATCTACATAAAGTGTGAGATAAGCCCGATATATCTACATAAAATTGTAGTGGTCGAAACAAGGATTCTGGGGATATAAAGAACACCGAAATCCGAGTTATATGAAGAAGTTATAACCCGTCGAAGTTTTACGACAGAATCGGCGCGACATCGGGAAACGTAAATAGTGAACTTACGATAGAGCGACTTTTAGCCTTAGAAATCTAAATGAAAGCCGTAGAATATGTTAAGCTGAGAGTGTCCAGAAAAAAGAACGCCCAAATCTGACTTCGTATGAAGAAGTTATGAGATTTTAACAGACCAATCATGTCCCGACCTGTTAAAAATATAACTTTAAAAATAAAGTCAAAACTAGCCGACGAAGTCTAAACAAAAGTTGTAGAGTACGTCTCCACTTACGCGTGGATATAAACAACATCAAAAACAGAGGTCGTATGAACGAGTTACAAATTATAATAGCATATTTACGTATTAAAATAAAGTATAAATCATATATACGCGCACATATATATATATATATATATATATATATATATATATATATATATATATACATATGTATATATCATTAGAAAGGTATTGACAATGCGGTCATTATAAGACTAATGTTGAGTTCTTTCGACATTAGTTTAGTACAAATATCATTAAATCCATTTAAAATATTATTATAGAGGGGTGTTTAGTTGCTTATATAACTAAAAGGTCATTAAGTAATTATTGAGGGTAGTTTTTGAAAATTCAATTAGTATAAATAAGAGTCTTGAGCTCTCATATTTCTTGCACCATTCTCTTGATTCAAGATTCTTTCTCTCCTTATCCTCCTAACATTTCGGTCCCTCGTGATTCGACTTCTCTTTCTGTAGTTTTTACTATAGTAAGGTGAGCACTGAAGCGCTGCACGAATCTTTTTTAGAAAGATTCAGCGACGAAGTTCTGCCCCTGCAGAGCCCGATTACTAGCTAAAATACCCTTGTAAGTAAGTTATGCTTACCCTATTTTAATATAGCTTATATTTAAAATTAATATTGTTATTATGAACTTATAATAAATAG